GGGCATTTCAACTGTTACCAAACAATGCAGACCTTGCTTTTGATTCACATAGCCTCCTGTGCTTTGGGAGGCATTTGATGAGTGAATTTTGAAAGGCCCCAGCAACATAAAATGCCAAAGGGCAGAGTAACCTCCCCTGACAAGCAGAGTGAGCAGCTACAAGGTTGTCTCTGCTAATGAAATATAATGAGAACATCTTTTACTGCTGTCACATTGTGACAAACAACAAAGCTCACCAGCATAAGCAACTCTGAAAATATCAGACAGACCAAAACGTTTCTTTGCAAATCAACTTGTAAACAGAAAGGGGGCTTTAGATCAAGGAGGAATGCTTATGTAATAGGAGTAAAATATTTATGGATGAGCCCATGAAAAATCCAGACTGATCCACATACAGGCGTATTTGCCCCCATTCTTGTAGACAAGGGGAAGTAGAGAGGTGAGTGTGGTATTCCATGAAGTCAGCCAGTCTGGCTGCTTTAACATGTTTGTACATCGCTCTTTTTGCACACTGATTGTAAAGGGGATCTATTTTGCAAAGTAGCCTTATTTCTGGCTCCATACCATAACTTCGCCTTTGATGTCTATTTTCATTTTTGCTTAAAGATTTATTTATTTGAAAAAGCATTTACAGAGACAGACAGAGAGGCAGGCATAAACAGATCTTCCACTATGCAAATGGCAGCAGTGGTTTGAGAGGGACAACGCAGACAGCAAGAACTCCATCTGATGTCCCACATCAGCGACAGGGACCCAAGCATTTGAGCCATCATTCACTGCGTTACCAGATGCAGTAGAAGAAATATTTCTCCCTCTCTCTTTCTCTCTATAAATCCGCCTAATAAAAATAAATGTATATTACAAAAAAAAGAGAGGGGGGAGTAGATTCCACAAAGCCCATTTGCCCCTTCTATCATACGAGGAAGCAGCAAAAAGCTATCACAGACTTCAACACACAACAACGCCACCAGTACCATTATCTTAACAATCTACAGAACCATGAGAAACACATCACTAATGTTTAGAAGGGACTCCATTGATAGTACTTTATCATGCTGTCTTGGACTGGGGAACACATTTTAACTTCTGTGATTCCATATACATTTAATTTTCCTTTTCCATCTGTTCTTCATGGTCTTTCATTTGAGAACCGAGAATCTGACTCTGTTTACCTTGTCTTTTTTGTTATTGTTGCTTTTAGAGGTTTATGTTCATATGTATACATGTATGTATGTATGTTGGAAAGTCAGATAAATAGAGAGCAGGAGAGACAGAGAGGAAGATCTTCCATCCAATGATTTACTCCATAAGTGGCCACAACTGCTGAAGCTGAGCCAATCCGAAGTCAGAGTCCCAAGGTTTTGGGCTGTCCTCAACTGCTTTCCCAAGCCACAGGCAGGGAGCTGCATGGGAAGCGTGGCTGCTGGGAATAGAACTGGTGCCCATATTGGATTCCAGCAAATGCAAAGTGAGGACTTTAGCCACTAGGTTACTGTGCCGGGACCTACCTTGAATAAAATTTGTCAAGAGTCAATCCTCAAAATGAAACAAAGATAAACAAATGAAATCTCTTGAAACTTAAGTGTTCCTACTCAACAAAAGAAATAGAGTAAAAATTTAATCTCCTGTAAGGGAGAAAATATTTGTAAGTTACATGTGTGAGAAGGTAAGGTTAGTAATCACGATACATAAAGAATCCAAACAACTCGAGCAAAGAAGCAATTCAATTAAAAATAGATGGATTTAAATAGATACCACACATGGTCAACAAGTACATGGAAAAGTGCCAAATCTTACTAATATTCAGGGAAATGAAAATTAAGGACAAAAGGAGATATCACCTCACTCTAGTAACACTGATGATTACCAAAAAGATGACGAGAGATGCTAAGCTGGTACACAAAGAAGAAGCCTGGTGCACGGTGGCTGAGGTTGTAAATAGTACATCTGGTGTGCAAAACGTTAAAGAGGTTCCTCAAACTAGAAATACAACTATGCCCGATCGAGCAATCCCACTTCTATTTACAAATCCAGGGAGAGTGAAACCAGTCTCGTGAAGAGTCATCTATACCCCAAGCTGTACTGCAAAGAAATGAAAACAAAAAGCCTAAGCGTTTCTACTGATGGATGATCAAAGAAAATGTGTAGATACCAAGTGGAGGACTATTTGGAAACTACAAGGATGGTTCTTGAACTTAAATGAAAGAAGTCAAGGGTCTGATTCTGTGGCATGGCATGTAAAGCTGATGAAGTGGCATCTCTTACTGCTTTGAGTCCTGGCTGCTCTGCTTCCAGTTCAGCCCCCTGCTAATGTGCCTGAGAAAGCAGGAGAGGATGGCCCAAAAACTCAGATGTCTGCATCACGATGAAAAATTCTATAGTGTGTACTGAGATGGACACAAATAAGTTTGAGTGTTCTACTGCATAATATAAAAATGTGAAGAAAAACCAAAAGAAAAAAATGAAGAATATTTTCACTATAAAAAAAAATTTGAGGCTTAATGAACACATGTCTTCATGGAAACATGTGAACTTCCAAGTATGTGCAATTTTTCATGTAAGTTAGAAATAAATAAGTCAATCCTTGATACTTTGTTAAACATATCTTCAAAAATATTAAAATGAACAAACTAACATACATGTATGTTTATGTGCATATAAATGTTCATTCATTTTACATGCCTTTTATTTGAAAAGACAGCTGTTTTCCTGTGATTACTGATTGAAATATTAAGCAATTCTGACATAAGAGATGGTATAACTTAAAATCATTTAAGACTAGTTTATATGTATATAGAAAAATGTAAAATATTTACTTTTGGGATATTTCTGGATGTTCATTAGTTTTATGAATCAACACTCCAATATGGAAACAGGAGTCTACATAAAATTTTATAAAAGCACAATTTACCCAACATATTGTTACAGCATAAAAAGAATCGCTTGATTACATATTAGTCTCACCACTAAGTTCTAAGATGAACCTTAATATTTAAATATTCATTTTCCACTTGGTATGCAAGTGGTATAGCACTATGCTTGATTCGTCACAGACAGCAAATTCAGTAGAGAGTACCAACCATCCAAACACAAACAGATATTTAATCTCATTAGTTAAACCTTGGTTTTCTTGGGCAAATGATTGTTTCTCTTTTCTCAGGTGCAGGACACTTAATTAAGGAATTTCTTCAATTTCAGAAACCTTTAGATATTACTTATTTGTTAAAAGGCTTCAAAATACTTATAGGATAAAGTTAATCCCAGTAAATCCTCCAACATTTATGAATTCATTTACTTTGTACGGCTATGTTGAGAAATAAATGTCATATGAACCTCTCTAGAATTTTGCCCAAACATGTTATATTTTCTTCTCATCCTGCTTTTCCCATTTTCTAAATGACCCAATGAGGGCATACTGTTCATTTACTCATAGATTTAGTACAAATTAAGAAGAAAAATTAACCAAGTCTGTCCCAGTTGAAACTTGCTGAGAGTACATCTTAAGTATGCCTACACAGTCCACCTTGTCACACATAAAAAATAACAATATCAAGTTATGGATACATGAATTAATTCAGTTGTGGTAACCATTTCAAACCTCAAATATATGTAATTTATATTCTCCAATTAGGAACACCTTAAAAACTGTAAAATATATAAATACAAGGGAAAACTGTCATTTGCCAAATCTGCAGATCAAACTGGAATGAATTGCATATGGATAGAAATTCCACTCTCCCTCTTCGTTTCTTAGTTACAATGAAGTTAAATTTTAATTTAAAGGTCTTTAGGTATTTTCTATGGTAGGTTTAATTTCAATATTTTACCCCCGGTAGAGTATTTCTAATTGATAGTATTTTTACAGATTGCCACTTTTTGAATCTCAAAATCACTATTTTAAAGAGATGATCATTGAGAAGGAGAGACAGGTGTTAAAGGGTTATGATCAAGATCACTTTCAGGGCCTGGTGCGATATCACAGTGGTTAAAGTCCTCGCCTTGTATGCCTGGGATCCCATATGGGCGCTGGTTCTAATCCCTGCGGCCCTGCTTCCCATGCAGCTCCCTGCTTGTAGCCTGGGAAGGCTGTCGGGGATGGCCCAGAGAACTGGGACCCTGCATCCATGTGGGAGACCTGGAAGAGGTTCCTGGCTCCTGGCTTTGGATTGGCTCAGCTCTAGCTGTTGTGGTCACTTGGGGAGTGAACCATTTGATGGAAGATCTTCCTCTCTGTCTCTCCTGATCTCTGTATATCTGCCTTTCCAATAAAAATTTTAAAATCTTAAAAAAAAATAAAAGATCGCATTCAGATATTGACAGATGCAGGAACAAAACCTAAGGTATGTGTCACACAGCAGGATTCAGAAAGTTCATGGAAGCACTCAACTCCTATTTCATTTTTTTCTGTGATTTTTTTAAGCCTCCTCATGTTGACAAACTGTCCTCCAAGTGAAGAATTTTCGTCGCAGAGCTGTCAGAATTTGGATTTCACTGAGTTAGTTTTCCTCACCAACTTCAGTTCATGTATACGTAAGTGAATCCATGCACGACCAGAATTCATTAGCCATTTGCCATTCCATATCATTCTCATACTAGTGATATCAAAGTTCAATGTACTATAAAGACAGGTTGCCACAAGAATATTTCTAAACTGAATTTCCCTACAGTTTCAAACTACTATGAAACACAACCATGATTTGCTCAAAAAGTGTTTTAGCAGAAATACCACAGCTCCAATTATTTATATAGAGTTTGAAGCTAATTATTTCTCATCACTGAGATGATCTTCAGGAAGGTGTCATGCTTAAACTGAGAAGTACCTACTAAATAAACCCAGAAGTATTACATAATAATCACTTCGAATAGGTTCATATGTAATTTGATTATTTTTATAGGAATGCTGTTTTTTTTTTTTTAAGTTTAAAAAGTGTTTGGCTTCTGTTGCTATTCAGAATCAGCATTTTAATAATCAAAGTACAGGATGAAAAAAATTCACTTACTTTGCTTTAGCTTCTGCATCTTCGTATGCTTTGTTAGATACATCATCCAGCCCTCCAATCAAATGCTTGAAAGAGCTATCAAAGGAAACAGAATGATTAAGGCAATCATCAAACAGTGGTACACAGGGCAACCTAATCAATGACAAGTTGAAGCAATCAGAGGATATCTAAATAAAAACGAACCCTTAATCTAGACAGAACACTTAATACATTAACATATTAAATGCACTTCCCATGAGTTGGATATAGTCCTAGGAGGGGAGCAATTTCTTTTGCTTTGTTCACCTCTAGCTCCCAACACCCAACCATGCTAAAAAAAAAGATACTCAAACAACTGAGTGAAATGGAGTCTGACACACTAATAACATACATCACTAAGTTCATGAGACGTTTCATTACTAACACTGAATCAGCAACATAATTTATCAATCGTGGAATGCCTATCAGATGCCTGGTACCATTCTTTTAATTAGTATGAACACTTATTAATTTTAATTCTCAAATTCTAAAAGACAAGCATCATTACTTCCATTTAGCAAACAATAAGCTACTTTTTAATGGCAAATAAATATGCAGAAGACGGTAAACAATTAACAGGAAAAATTATATAACATTAACTTATTTTCAAGGAGTAAAAATTAAGTGACTTTTGCTTGAAACAAAAAGACTCATCCAATCTGTTTAATTCCTGCCGTCATGTGGAAGGTTAACTGCAGTCATACGTATCTGTAACATAAAATACTAATGGTGCCATTACCAATGATAATTATAGAATTGCCCTTGAAATTTACTGAACACACCAACTATCTGCTAACTCACTCAAAATGACCAACCTGCCAGAGTTGGGCCAGTCCAGATCTAGGAACCGAGAACTTCCTCTGGGTGTAAGAACCTAAACACTTGCACCATCTATTGCTTTCAAGCCTTAGGGACCCTGAACCTGTATGGGAGACCTGGAGGAAGTCCCTGGCTCCTGGCTTCGGATTGGCGCAGCACCGGCCGTTGCCCTCACTTGGGGAGTGAATCAGTGGACGGAAGATCTTCCTCTCTGTCTCTCCTCCTCTCTGTTTATCTGACTTTCCAATAAATAAATGAATAAATAAATAAATAAATAAATAAATCTTTAAATTTGAAACGGAGTATCCAAGACCTAAACCAGTATCAATATGGGAATGCTGGTGCTACAGGTAGTGGTTTATTTCACTGCACTTCAGCTCAAAACCCAACACTAATGCTTATACAAATTATCACTGAACAAAGCAGAATGCAGAAAATAAAGGAAAGTTAATCTCTCAGAAGTTTGACACTCATAGGACCTTATGTGCAGGCCAGACATCGTTCCTTATGCTTTACACATAACAAATAACTTACGAGTTGGCAATGCTCTCATGAACTATATCATGATTTCTATTTCATGGATGAGGGCAGTGAACATGATGGATTAGGAAAACAGCCCAAAATCAGACATCCCATTAGCATGATGACTGATTTCGCAGTTTTAAAATCTACATGATGCCTATTCCTGAAAACTGTCAAATCAGGCTGTATGCCAACAACACAATAATGAGGTGTCAATACCAGGATAAAAACCTCCCCAGCAATATATAAGATGCGAGATTATACTTTAATTATAAACTCTCAAACTCTTAATACATGTAGAAGTACTTGAGTATTACATTAAAAAGTAAATTACCCATAGAGGGATGCTATATCACAGTAGGATGTTTGCTGTTTTACATTTAAGTATTTCTTAGCTGCATTCACTGCATATACTTTTTAAAGAACCATGCCACCATGTTCAGGGACCATAAAAAGCCATGTCATCATGCAAGAGGAAGGAGCAGCTGCTCTCACACCCTTGGTAACCACCTCATCTAAAGGGCAGCGTACATAGCATGCTGCCTTGCACACACCAGGTATTGCTACACAACCAGGGACCAAAACAAAATGTTTAGATTGGGCCTTGGGAATCAATCCTGCTGAAAAATACAAAATCATTTTGTTATAAATTCTATGGGTTAATGCCAAATGAAATTGGCAGTAGTCCTCAAAAATATACTATAATGGTTCAATAAATGATAAATATAATCCCGCTGGTTGAGAAAATGTTCTGATAAGGTTTCTGCCATTGTTCTTTCCCTGATATGTTTTCTCCCCTTCCCCAAGGCTTCTTACCTAAACTTACAGAAACTAAGACCAGATGGAGTGATAGTATAACACAAAATACGACTTTATGCACTGTATAAAATCAGATAATATTTGGATTTTTAAACAAATTGTGCAGATACAGGTAAGGACAGGGAGAGAGTTTAAGTCACTTGTCCCAAGTGACTGCAACTTGGCAGCACCTCTAGGATGAGCATCCAAACTTGCTAATGTTCACCCCTGTCCTTTATAGTGCTTGGACAATTTCAATAAATCATACCTAAATTATATGAAAACCTACCGAGATGAACAAATTACTTAGGAAACCAAAAGACAAATATCACTCAAGCACCTTTTCAAATTCATTCAGTTGTGCTTCAGTTGGAATATTTTAAGCAGAATAATATGTAAAGAAAGTAAAATGATGATAACTTTGAATGAAGATTTTGGGAAACTCTGTTCTCACTAGGCTAGGTTAAAATGTCGGATTGCTTTTCTAGTCAAATATAGCATGAAATTATATTAGTAAAGTGTGCAACTGGCAAAGGTTATATATGATGAGTTTACAGAAATTTAAACATAGAAACCATCTAAGTATGTCAATAAGTTTACAACTAAGTTCAGCCTAACTGGATGGGGCAGTAGGTGGGAACCTAACAATAAAACTTAAAAAAAAAAATCATTTCATTAACTCTTAGACACAAAGACCAAGCAAAAATATCTTTTAAATTGCTTGGCTTAAAATATAGTTTTCCATATAGCACTGACCTGATATATTCGTTACTGAAATTTTAAATTATTTCCAACTTTAATTTCATACTACTAGATAAGTGCTATGTGTTTGCAAAACACATTTGACTTGATGTGATATGAAATCATTTGTGAAATAAATTCTCTATTTGGAATGAAACTCATGTTTTGTCATAGAAAACATCCAAAAACAGAAAAAAAGTAATAAAGAAATCACCTGCCTTTATCTAACTATAAAGGAATAATAAGAACATCTTTATGTAAAGTTCTTTTATTTTGTTGCACACTTTGCCACTGTTTACTGAGTCATAATCAGTAACTGTGAGTTAATATCTTGATATTTAAATTAACATTATAGCCATTATAGCCTAAGTACATGAGCCACATTTGAGCAGTTGATTAGAACACAACATGTTCACGCAGCAGACAGTGCCCACCTGTTCTTGCATGCTTATGCAAAATCAGTATGCCAGAAACAGAAACATATATAATGTGTTATTAAACATATGAAATTTATTTTTTTGACTTTGAAACTATAGTCTTGGCATTTGGAATTTTAAGGCCTCTGTAAATATCACTTACAGGATAATTCTAGCCAAAGATAACAAAAGGTAAAATTTTAAAGCATTAAACAAAGGTGGCCCATTAATGCTACAGAATTCCTTAAGCAATAAATTAGTCATTATGCTTTACTAAAATGTAAAATGTTCAAGTCATGTTACTGAATTCCAAAGGACTACCACGATCTGGAATCCCTGGACCAATGAACAACATTCTATATCTTAATAGGAATAAATAGTTTTGTTAGAATATATCACTCAAAGAAAATATGAACTAATTAATATTTGTTTTTTTTAGAGACACCCCAAGGAATACCTGCCATATGGGTAGCCTTTCAGCAAATAGGCATTTGGAATAACATTCCTCTCACAGTATCACTTGCCTTTCTAAATATTTAGTCAGACCCTATGGCATTTGCGATTAAAAGAAAAGACATATGTTGTCATTTTTATGTTATGCACATGCATGTAAAGTTTTAACTCCCTTAGCAACCAAGTGAAACTATAAAATAATATGTATCAGTTTTTCCTAAAAAAATTTTATTTACTTTTATAGGAAAGGCAGATTTGCAAAGAGAAGGAGAGGGAGAAAGATTTTTCATCTGCTGGTTCACTGCACAGATGGCCTCAACGGCTACATCTTAGCCAATCTAAAGCCCACACTCTCCTCTGGGTCACACAGGTGGGTGCAGGGTCCCAAGGTTTTGGGCCATGCTCTGCTGCTTTATCAGGTCATAGGTAGGGAGCTGGATAGGAAGAGGAGCAGCTGGGACAAAAATCCGTACCCATATGGGATGCTGGCACTTGCAGGGGGACGACTTAGGAAATTGAGCCATCGTCCAGGCCCCATGTATCAATTTTAATAAACATTATTGACTACTGGAAAATCATTAAATTATCTTTTGAAAAAACTGTTAAAACATCAAGTAAAACAGTCAATAGCTACATATTGTAGACCTATTTTCAGGATAAATTAAGAAGATACTATTCAAAGACCTTAATCACTGGTATCTTAAAAAGGTAACCTTGCATGCGAATTTTTACATTACTTTTCTTGATGTCAGGAATACAATTTCTTCCTTTTTTAAAAATATTTATTTTTATTGGAAAGATATATACACAGAGGAGGAGAGACACAGAAGATCTGCTGTGCATTGATTCACTCCCTAAGTGACCGCAAAGGCCGGTAATGCGCCGATCCAAAGCCAGGAGCCAGGAGCTTCCTCCAGGTCTCCCAAGCAGGTGCTTGGAGGCTTTGGGCTGTCCCCTACTGCTTTCCCAGGCCACAAGCAGGGAGCTGAATGGGAAGTGGAGCTCCTGGGATTAGAGCCGGCACCCATATGGGATCCCAGATTGTCCAAGGTGAGGACTTTAGCCAGTAGGCCACCAGCCTGGGCTTTGGAGCACAATTTCAAAGGTACTTGACAGAATTTTATGTGGGTGTATACAGACATAAAATGGAAACTCTCCAATCTATAATGTTGATATTTCAAATATATTTGCATTGTGAAGGGTACAAACTAATGAACATGGAAGAAGGAAGGATTTAAGGAAGGGTGCTTGGAGGATGCGAAGAGAGCAAGAAGGAAAGAGGTGGGGAATAAAGATTCTTTCATCTCA